GATTTCTCGCGCGCATTTCAAACTATCAATATCACTTTACTCATTTCTAAGCTAGCATATTATGGTTTTGACAGTGTTGCGTTGAGGTGGTTTACAAGTTACCTTATTGATCGATCACAACAACGAGTCGAACTGTGCGGTATCGATGAAAAAAAAAGCCAGTCAACTGCTTCTTACGTGTCTCGGGGAGTCCCTCAGGGATCTATATTGGGTCCCATCCTGTTCATTTTGTACAGCACTGATATTTCTAAATGCATAAAAAATTGTAAGTACCATTTTTACGCTGATGATCTTCAGGTGTACATTTCATTCAGGTCAAGTGAAGCTTCTGTAGCAGTACTGTAGTACAGGCAGCTTAGGCTTTGTATTTAGAATTGTAAGAATAAAAAAGTGTTGCTGTCAATCAGACATATTAGAGTTCTGGACAAAGCTTTGAAATGAAATACACATATAAAGTTATAGTTATGATATAATCGTCGTTTCTCATTGGAAAGTACCTCTACGCAAGCCCCAGAGCTATGTCCCTGCTATAAGTGATGGAAATTCCGATGTGAAAACAATTTTGTATGATTTTACGAACAATCTCCAAAAGGAAGAAGAGGAAAGCATATTATAAGGTCGTAATTTGTATTGTTATTTATTTGTTTATAATTATACTAATGAAAATTGCAAGAAAAAAACATGCATATCGCTGCGCAAAAGTTTTCTGGATTCAATGACGTTGACGAATTTGTGCCGAAATTATTAAACACATTCCAGCCAGCTACTTTCATCATACATGCTTGTCGCGTGGCCTGTCGCCCGCGAAGCTTGTCGATCACCATCTGTGGTTCAGTTAGTCGCCATGGGCTCCCAAGCATCCATCTGAATGGCCTTTAAGAGAGCTTGATTGTGATTCCGTTCCGGAGAAGTGCCGGAGCTTAAGCCGCTCGTAGATGCCGCAACTGCAGATGCAGCAGAACCACTGCATTATTCCCTCGCGCAGCGAACTTCGTCGTGGTCAAGACTATTGCGTATCGTAATTTATATATATATCGTATTTTAAAGCCCGAACCTCGCGCTGTGTCGCTCACTCGGTCTGATCTAGAGTTCGCCGACAATAAAATTCTTATAAATTTACAGAATATCCATTTTTTTTGACGATATCGACAAACTAAAGAACAATGAATGTTGTTCAGCCGCTTTACAAATTAAGCCATTCTTAGATAAAAACGGATTGGTCCGCGTTGGCGGTCGGCTATCAAATGCTGGTTTAGAATATTCGCAAAGGCACCCCGTTGTGTTACCGCGGCGCGACCTTGTGTTTAACCTAATAGTTGACTATTTCCATAGGAAGTATTTCCACGCCGGTCCTGAAACATTGATGTCCTTGCTCAGGCATCAATATTGGATACTTGCCGCTCGACGAGTTATTCGCGAGCGTATTTATAAGTGCAATCCGTGTTTTAGGGCGAACTCGCAATCATTTTTCCCTCTCATGGCAGATCTATCTAGCTGCCGTGTGAATCATGTGGACAAAGCCTTCACGCATACGGGAGGGATGTGATAGCCGGTCCTTTGCAGTATACGCCTATCCTTGGTAGGGGAGTAAAAGACCAAAGCGTGGTTATGTATCTTCACGTGTCGCACAACCCACTGTTTGCATATCGAAATTGCGACAGAATTGCGTACCGCCAATTTCTTAGCTGCATTAAAGCGTTTCTTGTCGCGGCGTGGCCCAGTGCAATGTTTATATACTGACAATGGCACCAATTTTGTTGGCGCTAATTCGTATTTGCGAGACCTTCATAAGTTTCTCGACAAATATCGCCCATACCTCGCTCGCTCGCAGAGAACCGAATTGACTGGAAATTTATTCAACCTGCTTCCCCGCATTTCGGAGATTCTTGGGGAAGTATGGTGAAAATTATAAAGAACCATCTTGTAAAAGTGATTGGTGACCAAATATTGTCATACGAAGAGCTTCTACGACACTTATGAAAATAGAGGCCCTAATTCACGGTCACTGACTGCCACGAGCAGCGATCCCGCTGAGCCGTCAGCTTTGACGCAAGCTCACTTTCGTTACACGGCTCCACAGCTATTCTTACCCGCATCACCCATCGAGTCAGTAAATGTGCTCGGTCGACATGCCCTTCTAGATAAGGTACCAGTTGCAGACGCGAGCGAAATGGCCTACGTCATCTATTCCCATCCATGTTGGCACAGTGGTTATTACAAAAACGGATAACGCGCCGCTATTTCATGGTCTTTAGGTGTCGAAGAAGCAGTGCAACCTTTGAAGGACGGCTCAACCCGCATTGTCATCGTTAAGACAAGTAGAGGTAGTTTTACTCGTCCTGTCGTGCGATTGTGGCCACTGCCTAGCCAATTTTGTATTATAATTGTTTGTTATTGCTATAGTGTTATTATTAGTTTCGCCATAATAAGTTTATGCTTCAGATTCTTTTCTATAATCATAAGCAGTTGCTTGTTTATTTATTTTATTCGCATTTCCAAAAAATGATTGCTTTTGTAACTACAGATTGCGTACTAAATTTTTTTTTTTAAAAGAGATACGGAAATGCTTTGGGTGATTGAAAAAAGGTTGACCAGCCAAACTGAAAACTGATTTTAATTAGCAGTCATAAGGTGCAATTTGTTTGTGTTGTTTAGTGCGATTCACGTAAGTTCAAGCTATCAAAATATCGTTGAAGTTACGTAGTCGTTCGATCGAAGCCCTATCCAAAATGGGTATTCACGTATCACTTGAACGAATGTTGATAAGTATGAGTAGAATCGAAACGTAACGACTAATGAATGACAACTTGGATTGTGAAATTTCACATTTAGTCGTCGAAAGTCTATTTAAAGAACTGTCAAAATTTTAGCAGAATACGTATGACTTGTCGTTTAGGAGAGTCGATTTAAGTTCGATTCATATACCAGAATACGCTTTAACGACATTTGGATCGAACTACTTTAAAATTGGACTCGTTGACGTTCACTGTCACGCGTGAATACGAAAAAGCAGTTCAACGACTAAATCGTTACGATATCGTAACGGTTTGATTATGTGAATCACTCCCAGGTCCTCACAAATATAAACGTCAGAATTGACAAACTAAGAAGAAGACGAAGCAATTTCCAATAAATCCTGTGTTTAAGTGGATATTAAGAGTTGGTATTACCTCAGCTCGAATTTAATTTTTTTCCGTAAAATAAAAAAAAACTAAACCAAACCAAACAAAATCAAATCATTTATTGCTTATCGAGGAGCAGGGACACAAACGAACGCAAAGCCATTTGAAAAATGTATATCGTACCTATACTATATAACGTGTTCTATTTAGTTCAGTTTATATTTAAAAAAATCATTGCTATATGTGAAGTCCCTATTGAATACACAGGTTTTTTTTTAATTTCGAGGTAAGTTTGTGTTTTTTCCATCGTGAAAATTTTTAGGAATCGTGTTTTCACACCGTGTACTAATCAGTGTAGTTTCTCAATTTTACTAATACTTATTTTGTCCAAAGTGATTGATTGAACACCTTCACTGTTATGCGGAATCAACCAAAGTCATCGAGGTTGTACGACTCTTAAGAAATATGACAGATATCTATCACCTCACTACATTGCTTTTGTCTACTAGTTTCTATAACCACTTTAGTAGCAGTAGAGCTGCTTGTGAAAGATTTCGACCAGGAAAGTACTGCCAGCCCAATATTTCTGCCGCCATGCAGTAATGTGTTGGCGAAAATACAGGCACACGGGACTTATCAATTTGTGACGGGCCACCACCATCACTAGGTTAGTTAGGGTAGTAACACCGGGTGGTTCATGAAGTTCCAGTATAGTTAAGAGGTGAATTTATTACTTATTGTAAACCGATCAATAAACGACCAATGCTAAAACTTGGTGTTGGTTTCCTTTGTTAGTTATAGAAGCTTGGATAATTCTTATAGGTAAACAATAGTGTTTCCCGGCCGCACCATGGCAATATGCTACATTACAAATTTGTGTCTCAGGGTGGCGGGCGCAGTGACAGTGCCCCTCAAATCTCTGCGATGTACAGCTCTGGGTGGCACTGCAAGTGCTATGGACAGGCGGGTCGCTTACCACCAGGCGCACGACTTGTTCGTCCCGTCACTTGGTATTTTGGCGTGGCATCTGGGAGTCTGTAGTGAACTATAAATTACCGATAATTTTTAGTTCACTAATGCTCTGGTCACACAGAGGCGGGAGCGGGAGCGTTCCGGGCGCAGGACCTTTGTAATGCTCGAGTTCTTATGAATTCTGCCACATTGAAATCGACGGCGGCGGGTCGGTCGCGGCCCGGGGTCGAACGCTATGACAAACAGGCGGACCGGGTGCGGGCCGGGCGTGTGGCGAACGTAGGGCGGTTGCGGGCGCGGGAGTCGTATTCCATTGAGTTCTATGCAACAGAACCCACACAGAGCGGCAGCAGTGGGGCGCGGTCCGGGAGTTACTTTCAATATGAATTTGACCGAAATTTCTTTTGCGTTGCTTTCGTAGCGCTAATAAAAGCAGAAAATTTTAAAATTTGATCTTTATCCGACAGCGAAGTGGTGCTTTCTTTAAAATCTGTGTAGATAATGAAACGTGGCTGCTTTTGGTGTCACACTGGCCGCCTTCGCTCCGCTATTCTGCCGGGATCTACGTTTGGGACTGCTGTGTGGCACGCCCCGGTACGCATTCGTTTCCCGCAGGATCGCCCCGGACTGTTTTTCCCGCTGTACCGCCTTTGTGTGGCCTAAGCGTAATTGTGACTGCAAAGTGGTGCGCGCGTGACACGATAGTGGCGCTGTAACTGTGTTTCTAAATATTGTAAGGAAATTAGCAGTGGCGCAATTGCAGCGCTTCTATAAGCGTGTGATATGAAGGTGTCTTTAGGGCTAAAAAGTGAGTTGTCAGTTTTATTTAATACAATTTGGAACTTAATAAATTCCGAACTGGGAATTGAACTCTTGGGATAAATAGCCAAAGGCATAGGCACTTACTTTGTCGGTTCTGAGCAGCACTGAGAGGAGCCCTAGCGTGAAACCCAAGGGGAGCGGAATAATAAAGAGAAGTATGTAGTTGCATGGCACTTTGCGTCGACAAGACAACGTGCAGCTCCACAGCGCAAGGTAAGTAAGCAATTGGATTCCGAAGGCTACGCACCTGTGAAAACAATACATACCTACAAACGTTATAAATAAGTGCCCTGGGCACTAGTGATGAAAGAGACTCAGTCTTTTAAGGCCTTTTAAAAAAACCTCGATTAATTTTTAAAGCCTCACTACTACTACTAGTCTAGTCTTTTAACTCTGAAGTCTTGAGTCATAAGACTGAAACTGAAGACTAATTCGAGTCGAATTATACGTCGTGCTTCATCCTCGAGATTAGAGAAATTATGTAGTTTCACGTAATGACTCGCTAATCGTACACTATAGTTAAAAATAAAAATAAGGTAAAAAAGATAAATTTTAAGTTTACCTGGTATCCCCAATTTCCCACCAGGCAGCCGTGCCCTTATAATAATCGTTACTTGAATTCAAACCTCATTCGCGTTTCAGTACTACGCTAGTCTACACAGCATTTCTTTCCGTGCTATAAAAAAATCATGTCGATAAGAAATAGTAATAAAGATAGTGATGAGTATATTAGATGTAAAATGAGAAAAAATGAAAAGAAGTTGCCGCCGTTTAAGTTCGTACAGCAGCGAATCAAGATCAGACATTACGTCGCCTGCGCCGAAGGTATTTATTTATTTAGACAATTACATTTTTGCAATATCGCTAAAATATAAAACTATATTTTTAACAGGAGGTAGAATTAAGAGCTTTTTCCTTTTCTTTGCTTATTCTCATTTGATCAGACAGAAGTTTAGAATCATAAAGAAAATAGTCATACTTTAACAATAGAAACATTCAAACATTTTAAAATGTACAAATACCGATGCAACTTTCCGCCACATTGTGGCCTAAGTTGCGCCGTGTGCATAATTTTGTACAAATACCACATTATAGATAACAAATCCGTGAACTAAAATTGCAAATACGGAATAAGCAAAAACTTGTACATAAATTTGCTTTCGTAAATAAAATTCTATAAGTATCTAGGTATCATTAACCTGAATTGGGTGTCTTGTGCATAATAAAATACGCATTTACTTATTTTACGCACTTTTTCCCAGATGGCCAAGATGTCATAGTAGATGCGGTTGCTTCTACCTCACAACCCGGCCTACCCGCACAAGAAGTGGATCTGGACACCTTGGAGCCCTCTCCAGGGCCGTCGTCAATTATCTCGGCTAACCCAGAGGAATGTCCACTAGACGATGATATCCTGGAGATGTTGGGCGCATCCCCGCATAAATCCAAGAAAATGGGAGACAACATTCAGAAAGACCTTGCTCTTCGATGGGACATTTAGTCACCTCCGGCCTTACTAAGGAATGCCGACAAAACCTCATTGAGAAACACCTAATGCCCACAACTTGCCAAAGATTAACGGCCCCACTACTAAATCCAGAAATAAAGGCCACTATGATAGGCAAGGACAAGGGGACCGAGCATAAGCAAAACCAAATTGCTGCCGCTATCTCTTGCATTGGAGATTCACTCTCTCACAGGGATTTTCAAGACTGAGCATAAACACTCATTAATTATTAAATCCCTACTCGAGGGAGCTTAATTACTCTGTGACTTGCAATATTGCGAGTCCATGAAAAGACGAAGCCTCATTTGTGCATCTATCAAAAAAGAAATCAAGGGTATCTCTATGAGACTAAGATTGACTCCCATCTATTTGGTGAAAAGCTGGCGGAAACTCTGAAGGCTGCTAAAGCCATTAGCAAGTCGGGATCCGAGATGAAATCTAAGTCAACGGCGCGTCGTCCTTTAAATGCAAAACCTCAGCTGGCAACCAGCAAGCAGCCAGCCAAGAGGAGATAGGAGCCTGCATATTCGCAGATGTCACCTGCATTCCCCCCTCCTGTTCCACCAAAGCGGCGACAATACCCGATGTTGGCGCCGCCGCCACCGCCGCCGCCGCCGCCGCCACCGCCGCCGCCACCGCCGCCGCCACCGCCGCCGCCACC